AAAGTCTCAGATATGTTTTTCCCAAAAATTGGGGAATAAAACTACCATGGTCATCTCCACTGAAATTTCTCTGCATTTTGGGTATCACCAATAAGGCTGTTTACGAAAACAAAAGGGGAAAAATTATTTTAATGCTCCAGAAGGTCATATGCTATATCTTGTCTCATTCCTACCTGAAAAAAACACAGTGGTTGGAAAATATAGATCAAGTTCCCCGCCAAATTTCCCACCTCCTAGTTTTTGCGCCAAATCATGACATCTCTTTCCCCGCTGGTGTTTATGGCACACTTAATATGCAACGAATATTTTGCTGGATATTTTGTTAGAAGATGCCTGAAGCTAATTCAGACTACGTGGTTGTTATTGAACTCACCTCCTTAGTGGGGGAATGACCACAGATTGCCCCATTCTCCAACTTCCTTAAGAAAACCCTGAAATGACCAGATACAAGCCCTGCTCATTCAGCTCCCAGGCTGGGCAAAATCATAGACTGGGCAAAAATAAACAGAAGACCAAGGAGGTGATGCAGAAAGGAAGGACAAGGTTAGCTACTGAAGCCCCTTTATTAAGGTCTCAGAAAAACTGAAAAAGACTAGGAGGGAAAGCGGGGAGCTGGGGTACAGAGGGTGACTTTTCCTGGTTGAAAAACTATAAGGAGAAGAGCTACTGTGCTATGTTTGGGTAGCTTTCAAACACTTTGAGAGACATTAATAAAAAATAATAAAAAATTTCTCTCTCTCTCTCTCTCTCTCTCTCTCTCTCTCTCTCACACACACACACACACACACTCACACACACACAGACCTGTGACACATAATCCCACAGTTCTATTATGACCGCTACCAGGAGTGGAGATAAATGAGTATGTGCTGAGAACCTACTAAGAGCCAGATACGCTTATTTAATCCTCACAACAGCCGTATGAAGCCAGTATGTTTACCCCCTTCTAGATAAGACAGCTGTGACTCAGAGAAATTAAGTGAAGCACCCAAGGTCATAAAGCTAGCAAGTAATGGAGCAGGAACAAAGCCCCAGCTCTCCTGGGCCTGCTGCGGGGAGCTGGGAACCAGAAGCTGCTGCTGAGTGAGGCACGGGGTCAACATTTTTTTTTGCCAGAGGAAGCATCTCAGGAACTGGCCTGCAGCGTCCTCTGCACTGGGGTGTCTCTGGATCTGTGCTCCATTGTGAAACGGGGTTTTCCTGGCACTTTCTTAGCACAAAAAGCTGTGGCATCTCAGCACAAAAGCTGCGGGATCTATTTGCTTGTATAAGGTCAAAAATGCAGCCCACCAGCGTCTTTCTTTGTCCCTCCTGTGTGCACCGGTGATAAAAGCCAGCACGCATACAAAAACTGAGTTTATGAATTTCAACAGAAACCTTTTTACTCTTCTTGCCGTCTCTTCCTTAACACCATTTCTTCTTTACTATCCCCCTTCTCGATCTTTATCTACTAGTCAGTTTCCAGGTGTTTCCTCCCACTGATCTTAAACTATAGAAAATATAATTGAGTATTTTCTTTAGCAAAACTTGGTAATGTTTTGTGTTATTTACCATTGTAACCCTGGACAAGAGTTGGATTCTTATGACCCTTTCTCACTCTGTCCAACTGAATTGCTGCAAACTTACTTCTTATAGCTCTGAATAGCCCAGATTATAAGTCTTGTTTGCAAATTATCCTGATCTCATATTTCTTTTTTGCTTTTTAACAATGGTGACATGACTGCAGAGAAATAAAGAATAATTGTTAGCTAGAGGGGACTAACAAGAGTTCTGTTTACTATGTGACTTCACAGACTAAGTGGCCACAATCTCCTTATTTTCTCATTATTTCTAAGTTTCTTTCTTCCTTTGTTTTGTTTTTTGTTTGTTTTTGTGGGTTTTTTTCCTTCATAGTGAAACAACAGAGACCTTGCTGAAAGGAACCTTAGAAAGGTTCAGTTTAAGTAAACTGAGGCCCAGGACTAAGTGATTCTTATTGCAGTTGAAACCTAGGCATCTATACTTTTCATTCTGAGTTCATTTTTCTTCTCTAAGAGGCAAAGCCAGGAGGTAAAAGTCTGGCTGACAGTGAGATTTACCCTTTTCTCAAAGGCAGAATCTATTGGTTGACAACACTGAGAGCTTTCACTCCTTAGCTACAGCACAAATCTTTGTCCCTGCTGTTTCCTCTGTTCTCCCCTAGCCCACCAGGCAGGCCCATCTGGCCAGTGCTCAGCTGGAGGGCTGACAATTTTGATTACCACGAAAGCCAGCTAGCATTCCCACCATCCTGTGACAAATCATTATCTTTAAAAGAAGCCTTAAGATGTATACATGTATACAGGCAAAAAAATATTCCTACACACACACACACACACACACACACACACACACACACACGCGCGCGCGTCATTGTCGTGAATACTAAAGACAGTTTCTCTGTCTGCACCCACTTCGTGGGATAGTCTGGCAAGGAGACAGTGGCACCCAGTGGACAAATGCTTGACTGTCTGAGACAGGTGTTCCGTTCTGAAATGTTCCCGTGTCTCAACCTTAAGAAATGCCATTTGCTCCCCTTACCTTTCACTATTCTTCTGTCATCCTATTTTTAAAACAGTTACTGAATTTAAAAGTAGTGGGGGGAGTGGGATGTTCTTACAGTTTTTATCTTTTCAAGAATAGGACTAAACTAAAACACTGGAGAAAGCAAACATTTCAGGATTAAATCCTCTGAGAACAGTGTCTATATTTGATTAACCTATTTTGATAGTAACAGTGGAGACAGCCAAACCTAGTAAAATACTCAATTTTTAATTAAAAATGTAATCTTGAAAATGTCTGTCATGTGCTTTGTTTTTTTACACATTATACTTTCCTTTTCCTCAAACCACTGCCAACTTCCAATTGAATTCACTTAGTTAAGCAAATTTGGTAACTCCAAGGACAATTCTTCAGGAAAAAACAATTCTGCAACTTAATATCGTGCACTTTATCTGGGAGCCATACAAATCTCTATTTTGACTCTACATCTTTCATTGATTGTTTTGGTTGTGAACTTCTTGGCTAGAGAAGCCCCGAGTATATATATTTCTTCCCAAAACACCAAACTAGCATCTTACTCGTGGTAGGTATAAAGAAGTTGAATAAAATCCAGTTTCCATTTCACATATTTAATCTTCTAAATACTGAAAAAAAAATGGATCTAATAGTTTGATATTACATAAAGGGATCATCGAGTTAAGAATCTTAAATGTTAGAGGCTATTTGTGTCGAGTAAAAATATTTTATAAAGAACAAAAAGAATGGGTACTTTTATGGGTGAGTTGAATTTTACTGATTTAAATAAGAAATAATTCAAAGACATTCAGTTACAAATAAACATGTATCTTAATGCAAAAGCTTATACCAGCAAGTGTGCCCTCTTTTAGTTAGCAATTTAAACTTTCTTCCAGGTTTGAGGTTATAAAATTCTTAGTTTTTTTTTCTTTGAAATGGTGCCACACGTTCATCATTATGTTATTCATAATTCATAATTTTGCCACAGTGTAAGTCTTATTTTATTTGTTTTAGAGAAAAGACCAGTTAGCAAGCCAGGGTTATGGAATGCCGCTGATGTGGAAACTTTCCCAAATGACTCTGGGCCTAGGGCAACACCTTTTCATTAAATGACATAAGTCCCCTGGTCACCCCTTTGCATCAATCACATTTAGTTGGTAAATAATAAACATATCCTGGCCCTGGCCCGGTAGCTCAGTTGGTTAGAGCATCGTCCGGATACACCAAGTTGTGGGTTAGATCCCTGGTCAGGGCACATACAAGAATCAACCAATGAATGCATAAATAAATGCAAAAAGAAATCAGTGTCCCTCTCTCTGTCTCCTTTTCTTTCTCTCTAAAATGAATACATTAAAAAAAAAAAAAAAAAAACAAACAAAAGGCAAAATAACACATCCCAAAGTAAGACATGCACTCTTTTGGTAAATTGAAAAAGAAACAGAGGCCATTTCTCTGTGTGTCACTACCTTACATGTTAATTATACTTCTTTTTCTCATAACACTTCTTTTTCTCGTTAGCTTCTGCAAAAATTCTTATAAAATTGTGTTGCAATCAAATTTTGCTGGGCAGACCTTTGTTTTAAAAAACACACACAAAAAAACCCCACAACCAAAAATTGTTTTTCAAAAGTTTATAAAAATATATTATCCAAATTTATTGTATCAATCAATAAACATATAAAACATTTCAGAGTTTCTGTGGTCCATTCCCCTCCGCTGACTGTCCCCAAGGGTGAGCAGCGGTGCTCTGGGGGAGGGCCCAGGCACTAGGCAGCTTTGCCCTCCGGGCCCCAGCGCCCCTGCTCAGGGGGAAAGGACAACAGTAACAGTGGGATTTGCACTGCACACTGTGCTGTTTGCCAAGTGTAATCCTACTGGGGAATGGCCCAGCCCCTGGGCTGAGCTTTCCTGATACCCACACTCGCTGTCCCTGAAATCAGAGACCTGCTGTGTAGGCAGATCCCCTGCAAAGCATCCAGGCTGCCCAGTATAGGCGGGGCTCCACCTACCACCTGCTTTGCTTGTGACTTTATAAAGACCAAGAGGGAAGCCAATATTTGGAAAACTCTTTCCTCAAATAATTTGAGAAAGTTACTTCTGTGTGGCTCCTAAAGGTTTTCTCTTACCTTTGGGCTTATCTGTTTATAATGCAAATACACTTCACTTATTCGGGAAACCACTTGCTTGAAGATGGCTTGCCTGACTCATGGGCTGTGGTGAATGAAACTCCAAATACAAATGTAAAAGGAGTTGTAAAGGCTGAAAAGGGCCATACAGATGAAAGTAATTATTGTTATATATAAAATGAATGGAATGCTGTATGTGTGTGTGCACATGTATGTGCGAGTGTGTACATGAGTGTGTGTGTGTGAATAATCGCAGCGGTTAAAAAGCGTATTTAGATTTACACTTGCTGTACTCAACACCGAGGAACACACCTTCCCAGCGCCAATGACAGGTATTACCTGCTCTGATAAGGCCATAGACTTTTCTTCTGCTTCCTTCAGGCAAACCTCCAAGGCCTTGAGATGTTCCAAAGTAAACGTCATCTGTCCAGCTTCCAGGGACTCTTTCTTTAAAATAATAATTAAGTATTACTTTTAGACATGGATAGTTTCCTGAGCACGTCTCAAACAACTTTATGGACTAAGGACAGGCTTCATAAACTCACACCCATCCTCTGTTTTCTTCTTCAACACAGTAATAAAACAGTGAAACGTTACAAAAACGATAGCCTTATTTAACATTTAGGTTCTAAAGGAAAGGTAAAAATGCATAATTAAATTATGACCATGAATAGCTTTAAAAAGTTAGAATCAAATTGCCCATGTTGGAATTTGGTTGGTCTACAACTTTTATTCCTGATACAAAGGAAACTTCCCTTTGAGACATTAAGACCAAAATTTCACATTCCTAATAAGAGATGTCACCTAGAATGCCTGCATTTTTAACATTCACCTATCTTGTTTTCTGAATTCAGAGACGCTCTTGTTTCCTCTGTCACTTTCTTATCACAAGTTCCATTACAACAAAGATACCACAGGATTTAGACTCAGATCATCCTTCCTCAGAACACAGCTAATGAGGCTCAGATCAGCAGATGTGTAGGCTTGGCTTCTGAAAATGGTTCAGAAGTTGCTTTTTCTCATCTAAAAGCAGAAGAGTCTGCAAAATTGGCATGGAAATAGCAGCCACAGGCCCTACTGAGACTGGAGTGCTTCCTGACTACTCTTTGGCTAATGAGACAATTAATTACAATTACACAGCAACATGAAAAGTGAAAAAGGGGAACCCGCTGCTTTGTTTTTTCCCCTTTGCTTTGGGAGCCCACCGATATTCCGCATGTACATCTCCTGATGATACAATAGAGCCATCTGGTGGTAAATGGAACCAGAGGAAAAATAAAGCATTCATTCAGTTCTTACAATTGTTCGTACAGTACTCTGACCCTTAGGGCCCTGCCACAGGCCTTGGATATAAATGAAACTTACGGGATGAAAGGTAAAGGAATGTTGCTTCTGTTCCAAAACAGCCTAGCTCCTAGGTCACAAGTGGCTGCATAATCTCCCCCCAAAGCCAACTTTTGGGGGATGAACATCTTGGGCTAGAATGGTGATACTTGGGATAAACCAGTGATCCTCAGCATGCCATGATGATTCCAATAATTTTAAGAGTCAGTCCAAAATCGCAAAAATGAGCCTTAAAACAAAGCTCTTGTGTATTTACACTTACAGGTAATTTATGCTGCAAAACATTTTATGCAGAAAGGGGAAATTGTCAAGAGGCCAAACTTGTACAAAAAGATTGCGAGTCCCTGATGCAGGCTGCTGTTTTTAGAGAGAATCTTCTGGTATAATGTAGGATCTTAAGAGGAACTTTTTAAAATTCTTGTGAGTAGAGCAAGTAAGATCAGCTAATCTGTTTCTCTAGGTCTTTTTTCTCCAAACACCCCAAATTTCCCGAGCCAAAGACAACCATTTCCAGTAAGACAAAGCATTGTATGTAAGGCCAAACGAAACAGGCTTGACTGAAGACTGTTACAAAATAACATAGAACTTTTTGTACAGGTAGATTTAAGAAATTGTCATGTGCTATGGAACAGAGAGAGTCCTGAGCAAACTGTGAAGAATGCAGTTTATTGAACTGACTTGTCTTCTTGTTTCCACACTCCCTTAAGGAAAAGGGCCATAAATGTATCTTCACCGAGGTAAAAATGGCTTATACAAAGGCAGGTACTTTTTAACAGGGCTCAACTCCCGTTAGTCAAACAAAGGAATAAAAGTTAAATAATTTTAGAAATAAGTAAACACATGGGGTTAGGAGTTTCAGAGGTAGATGTGTGGTTTCAAGGATCTTTAAAAAGTTAGGTGTAGTCATTGCCCCAGTTTTGCAGGATGCAATTGCAGATGAGCAGAAGGGTGGGGCTTATATCATTCAGTTCATTCTGCTTCAGGCACATGGGGACACACCCTACAGAAAGCAATTTATGTTTATTATGAACATGAATCTGTCTTGGTGTTTAAGTAATTGAATGACTTATACTCAACATGACATCACATGTTGAAAACAGATGATACATACAGGTGTTTGGGGATTGAACCTGCGTCTGTGTATCTTCAAATGGTAAATTCCAGCAATTCAATAGAAATTTCAGTTTTTAATGTCTTCTCTTTATCTTAATATTTTCTCTTTTTAAAAATATATCTTTATTGATTCCAGGGAGAGGGAGAGAGAGAGAGAGAAACATCAATGATGAGAAAGTCATTGATCGGCTGCAGCCCGAAACCCGGGCATGTGCCCTGACCGGTAATCGAACCCTGATCTCCTGGATCCTAGGTCAATGCTCAATCGCTGAGTCATGCCCGGCTGGGCTATCTTAATATTTTCTACCTAAATATCAAGCAGGTAATCCAGGTACATGTAGCTAAGATAATCAAGATGATCAAACTAAAAGACTACTACAGAGCATTAAAAATTCAATAGTTTGATTATAATAAATACACTAGACTATTATGTCTGAGTATTAAAGTTGACAGTCTACAAATTGACAAATCTTATACAAAATTATAAGAGTAGGTTAACTTTTGGCTGCAGAGGTTCCTCATTTGAGAATCTGGAGGAAGTATTCTTTTATTCTAATTTAAGTTTCCTTGATTTCTCTAACCTATGTCAGTCAGTATCTTTTCATTGTCCCCTTTCTTACCTTCTTAATTACATTTATTGGGGTGACATTGGTTAATAAAATTACATAGGTTTCAAGTGCACAAGTCTATAAACACATTATCTGTATATTGTATTGTGTGTTTATCACCCAACATCAAATCCCCTTCCTTAATTTTAAGTCGGTATTTCTTTGTCTTACAAGGACCTTGCTCTCCTTTCTCAGCCGTACAGGCCCCTTCCACTCTTTCAGTCTGATTCACAGTGTCTGATTGATCCAAATCCTCCAGCCACCTCTGAATTCATGTGCAACACTTACAAAGGCCCCTGAGTGCCAGTCAGACAGCACTGCACTGAGCACTTACTAGGAGCTCAAAAAAGTTGTTGCTTGATTAAAGGCTCAGCAGTCAACAAGGTGGTTGCGCCAGAAGGAGCAGTCTGGCTGAGAAGCTATACCAGTTACTTCTTCGAGCAATATTTTCCATGCATCAGCCTGGGACCCTGACAGGGATCAGAGCCTTAGAGAAATTCTGCTTGGCGAGCCCAGGTGCCACACAGCACAGCTGAGAGCAAGAGTTGGGTGAGGGTGGCAGGGTTGTCCTGAGGATTAAATGAGATAAAGCAGGTAACTGCTTAGACAGGTGAAGTGCTCAATTAATGTGGTTATTAATAGTTGTATTAGCCCAACTCCTTTAAAGAGAATCATTTCATATGAAAACTTGCGAGCTTAGTTTTAAACCCTAGTAAAAGACATTCCCGATGGAGACACTTTTGTAACAGCGAATGATCAAAGGACAGCAGCGGGGAATTCGGTGAAGTATGCAATGGGAACAAAGTTAATAGGTTAAATATGTGCATTCATTTAAAAGCAAGATTGCTAAATAAAGATGTGGTCATAGACAGTTTCACCTTTACAGAAGAGCATTTTGACATGGGTCAGTTTGCTGCAATGAGATGTTCCTAGCAGCCTGCAGCTCCGTGTCCAGGGCTCTGGCAGCAGCCCTGCTCAGTAATGCAGTGACTTCCTGCCGGGTGAAACATGCTGCAACACATTTTGCAATGGCCAAGCCTCCTGCTTGATGACTTGTCTGTTTACCACTGCCATCTATTGTTCCTTCCCCCTGCTTGACGGGCACCGAAGGCTCTAAAATTCTTCGCTCTTTTACAACCTGTTCATATTTCTTACACGGTTAAAGTCTTTGCCCAGGGCCCTAGCTCAGCCCCTCACCCAGGGCAGATTGCTGTCATCCTTGCCTCCATCTCTGGTGATCAGAATTCATTTTTGAGGAGAAAGTTCATCACTCTCATGCCCTTTTGTGCTTAACTTTTGCAATAGTTTCTTAGGCTAAAATTGTAATTTCTATTTAGGCAGTGATTTAAAAACTCAGTTTTCTTGATTCCCATCCATTCTAGTGAAAACAGTATTCCTCTGTGTTGGGGTTGCCTGAGTAATCACATAATAAGATATATTTTATTCAAAACTTGATCAAACTATAACTTTTGTCAAAGCCCAATGGAAAGAACATTCTAGAAAGTGCCTATCAACATGACTGTGAAGGAGACGGCACTGGGTCAATGAGAGGTGAGCATTGGAAGACCACATTCCGGACTTCACTGAGTGTTTGACTTGAGCTATGTGACCTTCAGGCTTCACTTCTTGGGGCCTCAGGGTGTTTTTCTTTCTTTCTTTTTTTTTTAATCCTCACCTGACGATATTTTTTTCCATTGCTTTTCAGAGAAAGTGGAAGGGAGGGAGAGAGAGAAACATGATGTGAGAGACACACGGATTGGTTGCTTCCTGCACACGCCCCAACCAGGGCCGCGATCAAGTCTACAGCCGAGGTACATGCCCTTGGCCGGAATCAAACCCAAGGCCCTTCAGTCTGTGGGCCGACGCTCTAACCACTGGGCAAACCCGGCTGGGGCAGGGCCTCAGTTTTTAATCTTTACGTGATGGGTGGATTGATCAGGTCCCAGTGGGAAACAGATGGCCATCTGTTGGAATTACAGAGGGGAATTTGTTGAAGGGACTATATACAAAGGTGTGGGCACAGTTAAGGACGTCAACAAAGCATAGTGAGGTGAGGCGCCCCCCAGAGGTGAAGGGACCATTGCCTTACCTTAACGAGGCGGGGGAAGAGGTAATGGAGAATATTATTATAGGGTCAGGCTTGTGGAGAGCGCCACCCTAGGAGCTGAGCCTTTGGGTGGAGGAATACAGCTGCTGCCACCCTGTGCCCAGGCAGTGGCGGTGGATGGATCAGCAGAATAAGCAGCCTGACTCATCTCCTCTCTCTGTTCTGTCTGTATCTCCCCTGAGCTGAACCCAACAGGAAGCCAGAGAGCAAGAGCGCCTGAATGACAAGTCCAGAGAGACCAGCTTCCCTGGAAAAGAGCAGCGCAGGGGAAGGGT